TGGTATTTTACCTCTTTTTTCAGGCTATGGTCAACACCAAATTTTGGTATCAGGATCAGAATTCGCTATTCATAAGTTATTTTCTCCTGCTCGGATAGTGCCGCGTTGTGACAACATTCTGAAGTGCGGTCCGCTACTCAAAAGGCCTCGACTCCCTGATCAATTTATATGTGGTCAGGTTCAGGATCATAAGATTTTCTACACTCCATGTTGACACCAATCAAGTTAAAATCGTATGATAACTGCTGATCATACGATTTTAACTTGATTGGTGCCAACATGGAGTATAGAAAATCTTATGATCCTGATCCGGATCTGTTAACAAAAGTTATAGCTAATAACAAAACCTACAAAAGCTCTATACATCATTTTGCGGAATGCTGTTGAAGAAAAAAGTTAGAGGCAAATGAATGTAAATGAATGCACGAAATGAATGCAAATGATTTTCCATGCCTGTACCTGCATAGACTTAATTTGCGCGCTTCCCGGGCAAATGGAATTACTCAAAAACTATGCAATCCTCAGAAGAGCGTGCTGTTTTTTGTATCTTGATATTATTGATGACATCAAACCCAGAAGATTGGTAACTTTTCCAGACATCCATGCACCAGATACAGTAGCACTGCGCTTGAATGAAGGTGGTAACAGTGCATTGAAAAATGAGATAATACACAAACCTTTCTTCTGAGGTTGACATCTTTGCTATTAAATTCAATCAGAGCATTTACATTTGAGCGGTAGATGACGCGAATGTGCCTATCTCATAACGATAGTATGGTCTACTTGATATGTTGTCCTCGCTATTATTATAATAGGAGTTGAAACAACATTGTCTGGAAGGCAGCCGAGAAATCGCGGTGGGTGGAATGGTGAACTGGTCCACCCACTGGTCTCCGGGAGTTTGCTGTACCCGCACTTCTAAATGGATCATGTTTTACTGTTCGATTAAGTTTTTGACTACACACTATTATGAAACTACCTGTAACCAGCGGTGGGTCTGTCTGTCTAAGATTGTTCCGATTGTCGCGAATTTAGTGTTTCGATTCAAATGTTATGAATGCCAGGAAAGGATTCAAATATTAGTGCAAACACCGCCCACCACCCACTGGACAGCACACAACCAAACCACGAAGTTCCGCTACTCACAGCCAGGTGCCACTGATAGCACGATTGGGAGGCCATCGGGAGGTGGTGTAAAGGGGGCCATGATGGGGCGAAATTGTACTGAAGGAAAATTGATCAACAATCGAGAGCGCAAGGAAATCACCCGCCATCGTTGCTAGCGAATTGCCTGGTAAATGTCAAAACTTGTAATCGAAAACCAAGCTAGACAAACCCAAAACGAATATGATATACAGCTATCCCCCGAAGAACGCGTTACCCACTGATTTGTACGAACCGCTTTGTCTCTCGGTGGGTTTTCAATCAAGCGCTCTGATTTTCTGCGAAGTGACTAGTTCTCCATTGGCACTACTCACATGCAAAAAATCAGAGCGCTTGGTTGAAAACCCACCGAGAAAAAGCGGTTGGTGAACTCAGTGGGTAACGCGTTCTTCGGGGGAGCTGTACATCTATATATAGTTAAAGATCGTTATTCGAAAAGGGAAATAAAGTGATTACCGTATGCGTGATAATGTTTGCACCATTGAGCAATGTCAAGCAATGTCAAAAATTTCGTTTTCGAGTTTTTTTTTTATTTATTTATTCAAAGGAAGTCTCTTTAATAAAGAAACATAAGATAAGATATATTGTGTTGGAGTGTTCGACTGTGAGGTTTTACAATAAACAGTTTCGGCTTGGCAGTCTGGCAATCACTCAATCAGAACAAATTAATTTTGTAATTTGTCCCTACGTTTCGGCAAAGTTTAGGGAAATAAAAGAGACCTGTGTAGAGGGGGGTCTCATTAATTCTGGGCAGAGAGTTCCCCACCTGTTACATACCAAAATTTGGATAGAATTCACCCAAATCGGCCAAAACTGAATTGATTCAGGTCGATATTGTACATTTGTAAACTTCTCATTCACAGCTTAGTTTTCCAGCGGCGCCGGTGGTGTAGTGGTAAGCGTGACTGCCTTTCACCCCAGCAGGCCTGGGTTCAATCCCAGTCGGTGCCATCGGGATGTTCTGAGGCATAACATTTCTGATCACGCCTTCCTTCGGCGGGAAGTAAAGCCGTTGGTCTCCTTTCTATGAGTTGATGGGTCGATAACTAGGGTCCAGGTGTGGGAGCTGCCTCCCTGGCGTCGGGAGCATTGGTACTCAGTACGGAAAACAAATCAAGAAAAAAACTTAGTTTCAAGGTTGCAAATACTCATTTCACCTAAAGCAATGTTTTTCTGAATTATGGAATAATTAGATACTATGATCATGTTTTGCATAAGTAAGATACAATAAGAGGTTGCAGGGAATGGGTTTGACATGAGAGCCACAATCAGCGATTTTTCACTCACTCACTCACTCACTAAGCGATCAGCAAATCGCTGATTGTGACTCTTAGAAAGCAAATTTAACAGGTTTTATGTGTCAAACACATAAGGCCTGTACTCGAAAAAAAAATGCACCAGACAAAAGTGGTAGCCAAAAATTTATTTTAAGTCCGATTTTCTTGAAACTTTCAGGGAATGAACTACTACATATGGATTATGTTTCGGCATACTTACTTTATTCAATTTCCTTTCCATCGCTGAAAGCCCGCACCTTTCCCTTAAGACCCTTCATTACATTTTGTGCAATGGTGGAGCCGACCTTTTTGGTCACTTTCATCCATTTTTTCTTCAACTCCAGCTCGTTCTTAAACACCTTGGACAATTTTCGAACTTTGGCCGGACGAATCTCTGGTGAATTTGGGGGGTTGGCGGTTTTTGGTACAAAAACAACGTTATTGTCTCTGTACCAATCCAACGTCGATCGCGCGTAATGGCATGATGCCAGGTCCGGCCAAAATAATGACTCGCCTCCGTGGGACCGCAGGAAGGGCAACAGACGCTTCTGGAGCCACTCGGTGCGGTAAATTTCGTTGTTGATGGTACCCATTGTGATGTGCGGTTTACTCAGTTTACCGCATTGGTATATGGCCAGAGCAAGTATTTTTTGGCGAATTTGTCCACTTTCTTCTTCCTTATGACTTCCGGAACATCAAACCGTGATTTGGCAACGTAGAACTAATAACCACACACATCGGTTTCGTTAACCACTCTCCATACAGCTTCCTTGAGCGGGATTTGGCCGCCGTGTTTTGTTAATCACGCCGGTTCGGTGCCTTCCGGACCTTGAATACACGAAGCCCAGCTCGTTTCATGGTTTGCTGAACGAACCAGGCGGAATATTTTGCCTTCAGAGCCACGTAGCGACTCGAAAGGTTCGGATTACGCTTGAAATAATCTAACACCTTCCGGGCCTTCACAGGGTCAGCTGCCTTCGATTTTCTTCCACTTCCAGCCCGCCGCTCGGTCGCCTGGGACTTCTTAAACAATTTTACCACCCGAGACACAGTTGTATGGGTGATTCCCAGTTGTCTTCCGATCCATCTCATGGTCGCAGTCGGATTTTCCATGACGGCGCGCAAAATTCTCCGGCGATTTTCTTCTTTTTTCGATGACATCTCAATAACCACTGAACCGATTGTGATGAAATTTTGCACATGTAAACAATTCACTCCAAACTAGTTATACCCAGATTTTCATCATTTTTTACCCACGTATAAAAATGGTGCATTTTTTCGAGTACAAGCCTTACTTTGTAACCTCTTCTTGTAACTTACAAGTTAAACATGTGATCTTACCATCTTTTGGTTTTATTATTCCGAAAAACATTTTTTTAGCTGAAATGAGTATTTGCTACCTTGCTTAGTTAACCCATTTTTGGGTTTGTGCCGTTGCGACCAATTTGAATTTGGGTAGTTTTGAAATAGTTTTCAATTTTCCATTGAGCTATTTGAAGCGTTCTCGTTCTAATAGAACGCACTGTAACAACGGCCGATTGGGAACGATAAAAGAGTGTTAGAGGCACTTTAGCTCTTCACTTACAGGAGGTCTTCTTCGGTGGTAGTAGTTGTAGGGTTCTGTACTCAAAACTGTGAGACAGACAAGTGGAAATTAATTTTCTACTTCGCTCGGCTTACGCTACTGTGCGGTGCTGTGTGCTGTGCCGGTGGTCGCTTTGGATGAAGCGCTGCAAGTTTTTGGGATGCAAAGGGATTGTACACAATGGCGGTTCATACCCGGTTTACACTAGTGCTGGTTAATGCCCCAAAACTGTTTACATCATGCTGATAACATTGTGACCAGCAGCACTAGAGAATGAGCACACGTGTAAACCGGGCATAAAAGGGAATATTTATGCGCTGCACCATACCAAAATAACCAGTCAACAATTGGAAGCGCAGTGGTGTTGCATAGTGCCATTGTCTTTGCTTTAGAATTTTGCGAGGGGCGGATAGGGTTTTGCCCAAAAAAGCATTTTTAGAGCAATCTGAGCTGACAGCCAACCGGTGGTGCGATGGTGTGGGAACGATTAAAGTTTTTACAACGTTATGCTGGCGTCCGACCGAGTTTGGGGAATCGTCCCTGGGTTGGGATTTGGTTGGCATAGAAAGTTTTATTTTTATAAAGCGGAAGGTTGTTTCATTGCAGCTTTCTTGTTGCCCGGAGGTGATGAGATAGTAGATGGGAGTTGGTGAACTTAATCCCGTTGTGCACCGAAAAGCTTCGGCTATTATTAAACTTGGTAGTCTGATAAAATCTCAGTTTCAATGTAAATCATGTGAAGCTGTCAACAAGTTTGGTTTATTCAATTTAGAGTGATGATATTTTGGTCAGTCAATATTTCAATATTCGCATACATTGAAAACCATATGGCACATAATAGGGCTGAACGGATCCATTCACACAAACGGATACAGGATCTTCTGGTCAAAGTAGAAATTTCCCTTTGTCCTTTTGAAAAATGGAAATATTGAGTTAGATTTTAGATTCCTTACATATCACGATGAAGTTCTTACTTTTTTGCATAAATTCCAAGCACATCTGTTGGGTTGAAAATGCACAAATCCATCTCGTAGGCAACATATGACGAACACTGTTTCCCTTTGTACGACAAGGTGGGATTCAGGGAAAGTGTGAACAGCTGATGAGCATGCGAATGACTGCAGGCCAGTGGAACTGAAACATAGCATCTTTCATTGAATAGCCCCTTACCGAGATGTGTTACTGTCTACTTACGTATTGTATCGGCATAGGTCAACATCGGTGCAAGACAGGATGGCTGCGGGAAGTAGCCTCCATTGGGGAAGAAGTTTTCTTGTCCTACCGAGAATCCGATTCCCAGCAAGTCTCGTGTAGTGTAAATGACCTGTACGTAGGCAGCGTCAGTAGATGCAATCCGATTCTGTGTTCCCACATCAATCGGCATGGTGAACAGTGGTCCAGCGGCATCCAATCCGTACAGTTCCTTAACCTGTCCATTGAATTGCTTACACGCCAAAGATGACACGTGTGCACCCAAACTATGCCCGATGAGGGTCATTTTCGATGGAGAAATACCAGCTGTTTGCAGGAACTTCATAAACACTCCCAAATAGTTTCCTGTTAGCGGCACGTTCCGTTTGGCTGCAATTGCATAACCGTACCGCGCATACATCGACCAGTCAACGGCGCAAACATTACTGTCCACGTACAGCGAGTAATTCCCAGCCATTTCCTGTACCCAGGAGACGTTTACCTCGCTCAGCCAACCATGCGTGATGATGGCAATGGGTTTCGACAAATCCAGCTTACTGTTGATGTTACTATCGTTGACAAAAGTTTGCTGGAGCTGTGAGTAGCCCCGTTTGCCGCACCAAAATGTAACCTCCTGGTCAATGGTTCGATTATCGAAAACATCCTGTAGAACAGTCCCAACAGCATCGGCAATGGAAGTGGAAATGGTGTCCAAAAATGAAGCAATCGCCGTTTCCGAGGTAAAGGATGTAAAGTCCAAACTGAATCCGGCGGCGAAATTGGCCGACCAGATGGCACCCAGCAGGAACACGACTCGTGGAATCATTTTTTGGGAGTTGACTGACCGATCAATGGGATCATATTCTAATTTATATCAGAACGCATGCCATAGGGTTCTGGCACAACATCTGTGTACATAACTGCCGCGCAGGCTAGACATAGTCTACATACGTCAACGGTACAGTTTTTGGCTTGAATAATGTCTATGTTTGTTTTAGAATAAACAAAGTGCATGCGGATGGATGAAATTTTACTTATTGGATTTGCAAACTTTGAGTAATGTCTTCTTTCCAACGGTTTGTGTTTGCTTACATCGTAGATGCTGATTCAAGGTCACATAGTCTGACATATTTTGGGAGCTACTACTCCCAGTTTCCTATTGCCATTCGCTGTAGATTTGGTGACGTAATGCTAGTTCGAAGTTGTTTTGTCTGCTCATTGTTGCAGAGTGGCACCCACCGAGAATTCCGGGAATGCCTGGAAAACTCGGGAATCAAATGACACCACCGGAAAAAAAATGACACTTACACCGTTTATGCAACATCTAATGTTAGCAACACTTTCGTCTAGTTGGTTCTCTTTTCAATGATACACAGTAAGACAAACTTTGAAACATTTGGTTGATTTGATTGGATCCCTTTATTCGTGACCTCTTTCAAATTAACAACATAAAAGAAATCATACAAAATGTGTTTGTTCACGATTTCTCAATGACAATTTTTTGTAGTAGCCTCAAATGCAGGGAAAAGTTTTATTTCAAAAATTGTTAATGATCAGTAAGTAGCCGATATAATGTTCTTGAAAAATTTATCCATTTAATTTGGATATCTCCCAAAGCCTTTTAAAGTATTTGCAAACATTGCTAAATTCTTTAATTTCCACTATAACGTCTGGAACACTTGTTACATCAATTTTGTAATATTCCAAAACCACGTGAGCAACACTGTCCACCTTACCATGTCCCTCTGCTTCCCTCCACTTCTTGAAAATATGACGGTTACTGATTTATTCTGTAGGTGCTAGCAGACAAGGTAATCGTTATTAAATATTCCAATATTCAATAGGAATATCAATACCAGCAATTTAACAATACTTACCGTTAGTTTTGGAGACCATTTCTCATCGGTTTTAAGAAAAGGAAAGGCACAATTGAACAACATCCAATAACAATGTTCAAACAGATTGTGTTTAGAATGTCAATTTTGATAAGCTGAACAACAATGAAAAGTTGACAGGATGAAAACGATCGAACCCACGTAACATTGCATATTTTATCGAGGTTTTAAAGCATGCTTTAAGTCTAAATCATGGTCTACAGAACCGTTATAAAACCAAAATTGTTACTTGGGAAGTTGGCTATGCATACTGCATATGAATCAGGCGTTGCCAATCTGCCGCTGTGCCGCCCTTAGAGTAGTTTGTGCTCGAAAATGGGTAGGTTTTGGAAGAAAAAAAGCAGCATAAAAAATTTGTATAACATACACAAAAAAGTTATTCTATAAAAACTTACTGTAAAAAATAGATAGAAAGTTAGTGTCTTCAGCAAACTTTCTTTTATTGATAAGTTCTAAAACTTCGCTAAATACACTAACGCACTATGAAGGCTGACTAAAAGTAAATTGGCACGCATAAAAAGACCTGTAATTCGTGATTCAATAAGTTTTAAATGTCCATTAAGGGGAAGCTCACCGCTCCGAAAAAAAATAATTACGTGGTGATTTTTCTAAAAATATTGGGAAAAGGTATCAAAAATCTTAAAAAATTCCCATTAGTTAAATTTTCAAAGAAAATTCACAAGCAAAACATTTTTTATAAATCATTATGGCATAAAGTTGGACTCAAAAAACGACAAAACATCGACTTTTAGGTTTTGCTAAGAGCCCAATTTTTTTTCATGATGAGATAGAAAAAATATTTTTACATGTGATTTTTGACAAAAATCTAAGGAAGAAGCTGATTTTCTTGGATTTTTGACATTTTTTCCCAATATTTTTGGAAAAATAAAAACGTTCCGAAAATATTTTTTTTTCTTCCCCTTAATGGTTGCTTTACAGTACTTTTATTAAAACTTCAAAGTTACAGCATTAGGTGGTTACATTTCTCCAGTTCGAACGAAATCTCGAACCTTCCTCTTGATGGAGCCCATCAGCGCCCGCTCAGTGGAAACGGACACGGAATCAGCGCATTTCTTCCAATTTGCCCGCATTTGCTGGATGTCTGGGTGTTCGGATGTTTACTGGCTTTGTACGACTTGTATCCTTCCCTGGCAAGGATGTTCCGCACCTTTTGAAAGTTGGCGTTGTACCTTCTGGCCACATATCGGATCGAAAGACCGAGGTTGGCTTTAACGCAGCTCAACACCTTGCTGCGCAGCTGACGATCTCTGGTTCCAGTGTTTTCGTAGGTCCGCTGATTCCATTCCACACTCAGAGTTTCCTTGTAGGTTTTGAGCACTCGACAAACTGTTGTTTTCGGCATCTTCAGCACTGTAGCCAGCTTGGAACTGGACCACTCCAGATTTTCCAGGTGTTTGAACACAATATGTTATCTTCTTTCGTGTTCCATTTGACGTTATGACGCGATCGACTACTTTGATCAAACTTGCACCAGTTCGACAGCGAACATGGATAAGGGCGTATACGCGATGATCGATTCTCTTCATCGATTTTCTCTTTACATTGCTACAGAAACAATTTTCTAGCATTTGATCAATGCAGAGTTGTAACAGGTTGTATTGGCCATCAAAATCAACAACAAACGCACCGAGAAACGTTAAATCTAGCGAGTTATTAACAAAAGAGAAAATCGACGAAGAGAATCTATCATCGCATTTACGCCCTTATGCATGCTCACTGTCAAGTTGTTCTCTATAGAATTGTAAACAAACCACTGTCAAAGATTTTCGATTCCCAACACTAGAGGCAACACACGCGAGGAGCGTACCAATTTACTTTTAATCAGCCTTTACTGCCATTATGAATATCATAGATTTTTATCTTATTTCTAGGGAGATTAATCAAAAAATGCATAGCGCGAAAAAATAGACAATTAACTTTCAAGGAACTTTTCGCAAAACACCATATACTTAAAATGACGTTTTCCTGCTTAAATCTCAAACGATCACGTTTTTTTAGTTTTAGACTACTGTGAGTAGTGGGGCATGAAGTAGTTCGCCTCCTCGTGGTGTGCCCTGGAAACGCTACCCAGGGAGAGATATTGCGGCCAAACGAACTACCGCAGAGTAGGGACGCTGGAACCCCATCCAGCTCGTCCCAGGAGGTTGAGAAGCCCTGCACAAACCCTCGTTGTGTAAAGGCAGGAGTGACGCCGGGTTCTTAGAGTGCTTAGCACACGCAGCTGGTAAGCGGTCACATCTGTCCTAAGCTACCATGTTGGTCAGTTGGCTGGCTATCACGTCTGCTCTAGAACCCAGGCGAACAACGAACAGCGAACAACAAGAGGAAGGCCCTGCACAGCTGCTCACTGTGCAGTAGCGAGTGTCACGTCGGACACAACACCAAGTGATGCGCCATAGCGCAACCGGCCCCCTCCCATGACGTAATGCTTTCGGGCGGTTCCGGGGAGGTCAAGGGCCTAGAGCACAGGGTAAGGTTTAGTGGGTTGGGAGAGCTATTTCTCCCATCCATCCCCACAGTTATCTTCTCAGGAGTCTGGGAGCAGACTCCCCCATGAATAAAAAAAAAAAAAAAAAAAAAAAAAAAAAAAAAAACACACCGCGTACGTGAGTTGGAATCCCATGTTCGGTTATGTTTTATTTTTGTTTTGGATATACTTTTTTGATTTATGATAACGATGTTTTTTAAAACATGTTATATGATCAATGATTTATTTTTATAATCGAAGCGTTATAAAACAAATCATTGGTCATATAACATGTTTTGAAAACTTGCGCTTTTGCAGTTGTATAAAAGTATGAGATGAATTATTTTCAAATCTAAATGATCACTAATATATGTAATTTAGCAGTATTTTAAACACCTTTGTGACAAGTTGTGGTTTGGGATGTCCGAATGGGGCCAGTATAGGTCTTACTACCATCAATATGACCACCAATGTTTACGGCTATGAATTCTCATGTGCTTTAATTTGTCGTATGATGGATTTTGATTTAAAAAGGTTTTATCACTTCCCCGGGGATACCCGGAACATGTCCGGGTGTGGCCAACATGATGTTGGTTATTCATATTGACTATTATTGATCTTATTTTAGAATTCTCATGTGAATTATCGCACGGTGGATTTGGTACGTTTTTGAAAGTTTTTGTTGTCGGAATATGTTCCGGCGATAGATCCGGAACCAGTGGAACGATTCCAAAAACGTTTAATAACGTTCTATGGGACCATGATATCTTTCTACTGTTCAAAATTTCCCTTGATTTGTTTTCCGTGCTGAGCACCAATGCTACCGACGCCAGGGAGGCAGGTGCCACACCTGAACCCTACCAATCGACCCATCAACTCATAGACCGGGACCAACGGCTTTACTTCCCTGGCCTGCTGGGGTGAGCCTTTACAAATAAAGTAATTAGTAAAAAAATAAAAAATAAATAAATGTGAAATGAAAAAAGACTTGTAACATCTTCAAACGTAATCACTTTCAGTTTTTTTTTACAAATGGGACTGATTTGCGGTTAAGCCGAGTGAAATATAAAGTTGAATAATCCTATTGGATAAATCCCATACAGTTTGACAAATGGTTGAATACTATTGAAATTTTCTTGATCTATACACCCAAAAGTTAGTACAAAGAATATATTGTTTCGTTTGTCCTCGTAGGGGGCGGTCTAAATCTATCAAACACGAGGTTATCGTACAACAACTTGAACTTCATTATAAAAATACTGATATTTACTTGCAGCCAGCTCTTTTCGGACATTTTATTTAATTTTGATTTAAGAATGATAAATTGAATTGAATTGAATTTTCAAACAACCCATACATAGTTGAATGCTATCCCACACTCTGTGTTTTTACTGAAAGTGCACTCGAGAGCGCTCTCAAATGCACCTTCAGGGAAAACACGGAATGTGGTGC